TCTTCCTTCCAGACTGGGGGCATTCCACAAATACCCTGAGTGCCCCCTCTGAGTAGATGTTGCCAGGTGCTGGCAAGACAGGCATTGATCAATCAGCCAAATGGGTCATTCTTAACTGTGGGGGGCTGTGGGGGGCTTTAGGGGGACCTGAGGAAGTGCTATTGCCGAGTAGGGCTGGGGAGCGTTCTGGCCCGAGGGAGCAGCTGCTGCTGCTGTCAACCCTGGCTGCTTGATGCTGAGGCGCCCTGGAGGTGCCCCGGCCTGACCTTACATTTTAATCTATTAAATCTAGAAAGAGGCGGCTCACACAGTGAGAGGCCTTGACGCTGCTTTATCAGACTATTTCCCCTGCCCCACAGCTCCATCCTTCAAGTTCTGTATGGTGTTTACTTCTAATGCTGTTGTAATAGTTTCATTCCATTTGCATGGCGTTCAGCTTCATGTTCTGTGAAAGCAGATGTTGGGGGCCTCCTTGTCTTCGGCAGAACCGTTCATGTATTTTTTAATAGCTCTTCCTGCCTAGCAGTGTAGTGGAAGGAACCATGGCGTCAGATTCAAGTTGGAGCTGAGTCACTTGCTGCCAGCGTGGACATCTCCCACCCAGGCATCTGTGACATGGGGGTGCTGCTTCCAGTCGTGGGTGTCAGGGACCAAGTACATGTCAGTGTTCATCCCACTCTGCCAGTCACTGTCACTTCCGCTCTGTAAAACTTGGGAGCGCCTGGCACTGTCATAGTGAAAGCCTGATACTGCCGAGTCGGTACCCACCCAAGCGTGAGGCTTCAAATGAAAGAAAACTGGTGTGAGGGGAACCACCTCTCCCACGTGGCCCGGCGTCCCAGTTCCTGCTTCGGGAAATGGCACCTCCTGCAGGCCCGCGAGCAAGCTGACAGTCTAGCTGCAGGCCCAGGAGCTGGACCCACGCTCTTTCACTCTCCCGCGTGGAAGTTAATTCATTCCACTCAGGCCTGTGTGGCCGCTGTGAGCCTGCCACTGTTTTCGACACATTTTCTCTGCCTGGCCCATTACCTGGGACTCATTCCTCGTTATCTGAACTGCAGAGGCACTTCCAGAGCCCTTTCTAGGCCTGACTCCCAGCCGGACACTGCACGATGGGGACTCAGAACGGGCGCCTGGTGTGCATTTTACTATCTCAGGTGAAGCATGTCACTGGAACATGGTGGCGTGTGGCTAAAAGGTACATGGGCAGAACACGATTCAAAAACAGCACTGTCCCCGTGGGTGTCCTGTGTCCTGAGAGCAAGGGCTCACTCAGCAGCAGCAGGCGCAGCTTCCGCAGCGAGAGGGGAGGATCCTGAGGCGTGTGTGACGGGGGTGCTGGTTTTCATCCATTTGTAACTCTCCACAGGCCATGTGGCACGGCCCTCCTCGCTTCACAGATAAGGAAACACGGGTTTGGTGCGTTTCGCTGCTGAGGGCTGGGCTCGACGCTGAGTGGGAGGCCGACTGCTCATTCACCCCTCTCTCTGATTCCCATCCTAGTCTCCCATGTTCGATGGCAAGGTCCCACACTGGTACCACTTCTCCTGCTTCTGGAAGGTCGGCCACTCCATCTGGCAGCCTGATGTTGAGGTGGATGGGTTCTCTGAGCTCCGGTGGGATGACCAGCAGAAAGTTAAGAAGACTGCGGAGGCTGGAGGGGTGACAGGTGCGTACACACCAAGGAGGCACAGGTGTCACCCCTCGACCCCATAGTTTCCAGGGGGCCTTTTCCAAGGGAGCAAAAAAAAAGTCCTTCGGCTCGTCACTCCTTGTCTCAGACATGTGCATACAGATAGCAAGGTGCCCACGTTATGTTCGCGCACCTCATCCACCCAGCTTCGTCCTGTTGCGGGATTATTTTCCAGATGCCTGAAACATGGCCTTTAAATTTGTTGTTGTTGTGGTAGACTTTATTTTTTTACAGCAGTTTCAGGTTCATAGCAACAGAGAGAGTTCCCGTGGACCCCCCGCCCCACCCTCAACAACCCCCACCAGAGGGTGCATCCGTCACAGTCAGTGAACCTGCCCTGGCACATCATCATCACCCGAAGTCCGTAGTTGACATTAGGGTTCACTCACAGCGTCGTACATTCTGTGGCTTTGAACAAATGTGCAACGACATGTGTCCACCATTATAAAATATTTTCCCTGCCCTAAAATTCTTCCATGTTCCACCTGTTCATCCATCCTCCTCCTTGAACCCCTGGCCACCACTGATCTTTACTGACTCCATAGTTTCTCCTTTCAGAATGTCATATAGTTAGAATCACACATTATTTAGTCTTTCCAGATTGTCTTATTCCACTTGGTAATATGCATATAAAGTTCTCGCATATCTTTTCGTAGTTTGATAACTTAATCCTCTTCAGTGCCACGTAATACTTCATTGTCTGGATGTCCCGTGGTTTGTTTATCCATTCACCTACCTGCTAAGAAACTTTCTGGTGGCTTTCGAGTTTGGGCAGTTATGAAGAAGCTAATACAAACATCTAAGTTTTCCACTTATTTGGGTAAATACCAAGGAGCACGATTGCTGGATGATCTTTTGGTAAGAGTATGTTTAGTTTTGTAAGAAACTGCCACACTGTCTTCCAAAGTAGCTGTACCAGTTGGCATTCCCACCAGCAGTGAGTGAGTTCTGTGCTCCGCCTCTTGCCAGCATTCGATGTTGGCCTTTCTGACAGGTGCGCAGTGGTATCTTGTTTTCATTTGCAGTTCCCTAATGCCATATGTGGAGCATCCTTCCAGGTTTTTTGCCATCTGTATATCTTCTTTGGCGAAGTGACTGTTCAGATATTTTCCCCATTTTTTAATCAGGTTTTATTGAATTTTAAGGGTTCTTTGTATATTTTGGAATCCTTTATCAAATCTGTTTTTTGCAGATATATTCTTCCCAGTCGTGCCTTGTCTTTCTTTCCCTTGACATTGTCTTTCACGGTGCGGACGTTTTCAGTTTGAGTGAAGTCCAGCTTATCAATTTTTTTCCATGGATTTTGTCTGGTGTTGTGTCTGAAAAGTCATCATCATAGCCAAGCTCATCTAGATTTTCTCCTGCATTATCTTCTAGGAGTTTTATACTTTGGGGTTTTACGTTTAAGTCTGTGATCCATTTTGAGTTAATTTTTGTGACAGGTACAGACTCTTTGTCTAGATTAATTTTTTTTACCTGCAGGTGATCATTTGTTCCAGCGCCACCTGTTGAAAAGTTATCTGTTCTCCACCATGTTGCCGTTGCTCCTTTGAAACGTCAGTTGACTCTATTGACTATGTTCGTAGGGGTGTATTTCTGGGCTCTCTTCTGGTCTGTATATCAGTTTGTATATTTCCATTACCACAGTCTCGATTACTGTAACTTCATAGTCAATCTTGAAGTCAGGGCGTGTCAGTCCTCTGACTCTTCTGGGTCTTTTCCCTCTCAGATGAGTCAGTTTGGCAGTATTCACAAACTTAACTTGCTGGGATGCCTTTAAATTTTAAATAGTCAGGTTTTTTTAAATCACTTTTTGAAAGAGGTCTTCCAAGACTGCATTCTCATTTCTCTGCCTTCTTAGATGACCCAGTTTAACCTGTTCCTGTGACTGTAGGCTGTTGATGGGAACAAAGCTATTTGTGCCAGTGCTAAACCGTTTTCTCTATCTGCCTGTTCTTTTAACTGTCAGTGTGTTTGTCTCCAGCTGCTTCTGATCTGCTGGAAACCGAGAGATCTGAAACATAGCTCAGAATTGTGAATAAAAACAGTAAATTAGCAAACTAAGGGTCTGGAGAGTGATCAGTTATAGCAGAGGACAATGTAATGATTTGTCTTGTTTTGTGGTCATTTTCCCTTTCGTGTTCAAGATAGTGGGGATTATCCTTTCAGGGACCTAGATAGGTTATATCTAGTTATAATTTATATGTGTTATATAATTTTATAATATGAAAAGGCATAGTAACTTCGCTGTAAATGTGTTTCTTGTGAAACCGTCATAAGTCATAAAGTTATGTTTCTATCAACTAATTATCTAAGGATTTTTTGTCCAAAGAGCCTAACTTAATATATTTAGATATACAAAAGTTGAAATTATCCTAGATCTTGTAAGTCAGAAATAACTATCATTGACATTGTGAGGTGTCTCCGTAGGAAATTATTTTGTATTCGGATATTGATTCATATATGTGTATGTTTTCTTTCCTGAAGAAATGAGACTCTTCCCTAAGTGTTACTTTTTTTTAAATGCTCAGTCGCTTTTTTGGAGGTAAAATATACGTAACAGTATTTACTGTCTTAACCATTTTTAATTGCATAGTTCAGTGGCATTAAGCACATTCACATTGTTGTGACACCATCACCGCCATCCATCTCCAGAACTTTTTCATCTCCCCAAACTGGGACCCTGTCCCCATTAAACAGTAACTCCCCATTGTTCCAACCCCCACCGCAGTCCCTGGTAACCACTTTTATTTCTGTCTGTGAATTTGACAACTCTAGGAAGCGTGTGTAAGTGGAATCATACAGTATTTGCCCTTTTGTGTCTGGCTGTTTCGTTCAGCACAATGTCTTCAACAAATTTCACGTGTAGCATGTGTCAGCATTTCCTTTTCAGAGCTGACTAATGTTCCATTGTATGTATATGTCACATTTTCTATCCATTCATCAGTGAACATCGGGAGTCGTTTCTACCTTTTGACAAGTGTAAATGATGCTGCTGTGAACATTGGTGTACAAAAGTCCGTTCCAGACCCTGCTTTCTATACTCTCATGTGTATGTTCAGAAGCGGAATTGCTAGACCCTATAATTCTGTGTTTAATTTTTTGTGTAACCGCCATACTGGTTTTCACAGCAGCTGCACCATTTTGCATCCCCACCAGCAATACACAGGGTTTTGATTTCTCCAGGTCCTTATCAACTTTTGTTTTCGGGGGTGGGGGGTTTGGTTTGGTTTGGTTTGGTTTTAGTAATACCCAGCCAGTTGGTTCGAAATGGTATTTTATTATGGTTTTGATTTGTGTTTCCCCAGTTAATTAGTGCTATTGACCTACATACTGCATTTTACAACTTAATGTTTACTCTTTTCACATTGAAAGTTTCCATTATTTCCATCATTTTTAAAAGATACATAGTATTCCTTTATTGAGGTTTTGCTAAATTTCGTGCATCGTTCAAGCACATGACATATATTTCATCAAATCCTTGTAGCAGCTCTTGATCAGTTTTCACTGATGAGGACCTGAGACACTGAAAGGTTAGGTAACTGGGCCAAGGTCATGCTGGTGGTAAGTGCCTGAGCCAGGATTCAGATGCACACGGTCTTGCTTTTGAGGCTAGACTTTTAACAAAACATTTAACTGTTAGAAATGGAGCGGCTGCAAACTTCTTGTACATCTCGGGCACCTGTCCACTTATTTCTTTTTAATTCCAAGAAGTGGAATTACTGCTCAGAGAAGTGAAGTGTTTTCAGGCCTTCCGTGTGTGCCAAACTGCCTTCCAGAAGGTTGCATCAGCTATACTTGTACCGACGATATGGAACACGCCCGTTTCTCCGCTTCCACCCGCCCCCAAGTATTTTCATTCCTTTTCATTTTGCTCCTAGTGAGGTAGAACATTTTGTCGCATGTTTATTATTCATTCGTATTACTTTGATATTTGTGTGTGGTCTTGCCTCATCGTTTGTTTGTCTTTTTCTTAAACTCGTAAGATACTAATTCTTAGTCACGTTTTGCAAATATTTTTCCTTGTTTGACCTTTATCTTTCAGATTAATTTCTTGTATGTTTTGTCACATTGAAGCTTCATCTTTGACTAAATGTTCTTATAGTTTTATGTCTCCTCATTGACGGTATCTGTTTTTGGTATCTTAAAATCTTTTATCTGGGATTTTAAAAATAATGTGCATACAGGTATATGCACAAACTTTAAGTAACAGTTCAGTGAGTTTTGACAAATGCATACACACATCTGATGTACACACCCCAGAAAGTTCCCTTAAGTGCTTTCCCACCACCCAGGTAACCACTGTTCTGATTTCTAAACCCATGGACACGTTTTGCGTGATTTAGAATTTTAGGAAAAAACAAATAGTGTATGTTTTCCTGGTAGGTTGCTTTCACTCAGCATGTCTGTGAGACTCACCTGGGTTGTCTCGTGTGTCATCAGTCAAGTTCTTTTGTATACCCAGGAGCAGTCCTCTGAGTGTGTCAGTTCGTTTATCCATTCTTCTATATTGGTGACTTCAGGTCATTGCTGGTTTGGGGCTGTTACATACAAATACAGCTGTTGTATTGATGTTTGTGTACGGGTCTCTGTATACACGTGCTCTCATTTCTCTTGTGTGAATACCCAGGAATGGAGTGGCAGATCATTGGGTAGATGTGTGTTCAGCTTTTTATGGAACCTGCCAGACTGTTTTCCGGACTTGTTGCACCATTTTACATCCCCACCAGGAGGATGCGGGAGTTTTGGTCCCTGCACTTCCTTGCCCTCACTTGGTGTGGCCACTTTTTAATAATAGCCATGCTAATAGGTGTGTAGTGATATCTTGCCATAGTTTTAAATTGCACTTGTCTTTTTATTATTGAGTTGTAAGAGTTTGCAGACTATTCTAGATACAAGTTATTAGATATAATAATGTGAATTACCTTCTTTTTTATAAAATTATTGACAGCTTTTGAAGAGCAGTAGTTTTTCACTTTGATGAAGTCCTGTTTGTTGATTTTCCCCCCTTTTTTGGTTAGTGCTTTCTGTCTCTAAAGAAATTTATTTGCCTGCTATAAAGTCATGAAGATATACTCATTTTTTCAGGAAGTTTTGTAGTATTAGCTTTTATATTTAGGTTTGTGATTTGTCTTGAATTCGTATTAAGTGTGCGGAGTCGTGTTTTGTTGTTTTTTCCATGTGGATATCCTTTTGTTCCAGCACCATTTGTTGAAAAGACTGGCTTCTGTGTTAAAACCAGTTGGCTGCATAACTGTAGGTCTAGGCTTGGTCTCCATTTCGTTCCATTGATCTATCTGTCCACCAATACCCCACCGTTTTAATTCCTGTAACTTCACAGGAAGTTATGAAACCATGCAATGTAATTCCTTTAATTTTGTTCTTTTTCAGCATTGTTTTGACCTTTCTAGGTCCTTTGTAATTTCTTATAAATTTTGTAGTAAATTTGTGAATTTCTCCCCCCCCAAGTGATTTTGATTAGCATTGCATTGAATCTATAGATTAAATTGGGAAAATTTGACATCTTCATAAATTGAGCCTTCTAATCCATAAATATATATCTCCATTTATTTAGTTCTTTAATTTCAGCAAAGTCTTATAGAGTCAATGTAGAGGTCTCGCATGTCTTGTTAAATTTATCCCTTAAGTCTTCTGTGTATTTTAATGCTAGTGAAATAGTAGCATGCTTTAATTTCCTGTTTTGTATGTTTGTTGCTAGTATATAGATATGTTTTATATATTGACCCTGTGCTCTGCAAATTTGCTAAATTCACTTAATGGTACTCGTAGCTTTTTTGTATATTTCCGAGGATATCCTGCATATATAATAATCATGTCATTCTACAAATAGAGATGCCTTTACTTGTTCTTTTCTAAACCTTTTATTTCTTTTTCTTGTCTTAACGTACTTACTAGACCCTCTAATACAGGGTTGACTAGAAGTGGTGAGAGAAGACAGCTTTGTCTTATTCCTGATCATAGGAGGGAAATACTCAGCCTTGGGATTTATTTTTAGATGAGAAAAGACGAAAAGACTCTAGCTTTTATCCCAAATACTTAGCCACTTATCCTCAAGATTCTTTGTTGAATGATTCAGCCTTACCCTACTAACTAGAAATGCTACCTTTACCACTTGTTTAATCTTACATGTTGCCGTTAATTCCACATTTAACTTTGATAGCTAAAAGTATAATGGAAATTAGAAGGCAGAGTTAGAATTTAGTACGTTGCAAGGCTTTCGTAGTAAGCACTTAATAAGTACTTTCCAAGGTGTGGGAGGGGGCTCCAGAGGATGTGGAGAGAAATGGAAGCTGAGATGACCAGCAGCTAACACTGTGCTGTTCCCGAGCCTGTCTGAGGAAGGTTTTTATTTTATTGCCAGAAAAGAAGTTCTGTTAACCGGCCACCGTGGTTAGGAACAGGGTAGGTTAGGTGGGCTAGCTGTAATTGCCCCAAACACAAGCTGTCCGAGAAGAAGAACCCTGGGGGTGGGGGGCAGGACAGGGACCCGCAGCTGCACTGAGGTTGTCGGGGTGAGCATTGCTGTGTTCAATTCTTCAGGCAAAGGCCAAGATGGCGTTGGCGGCAAGACGGAGAAGACACTGGGTGACTTTGCAGCGGAGTACGCCAAGTCCAACAGGAGCACGTGCAAGGGCTGCATGGAGAAGATAGAAAAGGTAAGAATGTAGGGCTTCAGATGTCGGGCTTTATGGAGTTTTTACATCGGATGTCATTGAGATCCCAAAAGAAAAGACGGAATGGGACTTTAAATGCTACCTCAACACTAGTGGTTGAAAAAAAGCGAAGGTCTCAGTAGAGACAAGAGGTGACAGTGACTTTTCTTCCAGACAGTCTGGCTGTAACTACCCACGGTCAAGTCCTTGTGTGCGTAGCTGCAGTAGCTGCACCACTCCTAGGACTTGGGGGTCTGGAAAGCGTTTCCATGGTGGTGGGGGGGCGGTTCGTGTCCGGGCTCAGCAGTGGCCGGGAAGCTGTCATCTGTTTGGTGGCAGCATTAGGCTTAAGGAGCGGATTTGCTCCCTGACGAGAGTCTCCAGGCTTGTGCTTCATTAGAGGAACTTCATTGACCACCCTTTCCTGTTCTGGCCCTGAAGATTGACAGCTGGTTGGGTGGGAGGGAGCAGGGCACACGGGTGGAAGGGCAGTCCTGTCCCTCCAGCCTTGTCACCGTTCTCTAGTCTTACGCAAACATTCCGTTTGATTAGTCAAAGGCACTGATTGGAGGTTCCTGCCTCCTCAGAGCCTTGTACTGGAAGTTGAGGTGAGTCAATGGGATTTAGAAAGGAAAACCATGACATTGCTAGATCTTCTCCAGCTACAGATTGGAGGCAAAAGTTAAGGGTCCTAGGGGAATGACTAGGAGCTTTATGCTGTTCAGTGTTGCGTGGCCCGAAATGTAGTTTTACGTAGTGTCAGCACCCCTCGAGCTGGGTCGCCTGCATCCGGGGCTCGCAGGCACGGAACTCTCCCAGGAGTGTCAGGCCTGGACCTGTGAACCTGGACGGATGGCAGGACGAGGTTCTGGCCTGTAGGTTTATTAGGGGCTTCATCTGTGTAAACAGACCAAAGAGGTGGGGGATGCAGAACATGCCGGCTGGGGTCGGGAGCCCGCTTTGGCTCCTGGGCCTGGGCGTAGCATCCCAGATGATGTCTGAGGCCACGGCTCCACCCCAGTATGCTATGCGAGGTGTTCTCGTGCCCACTGTGGGTCTGCAGAACATCCTTAAGCCAGTGTCAGCACTTCCTCAGTTTGCCCAGGCAGGCAGGTAGGTAAGTAGTTGGAGTTGGCCCCATTTAAAATAGGGGTGCTGGGGCTCAAAGCTAACACGCAGTCCTTAGTAGCATAAAAGAGCCGAAACGGCAGAGCAGCCTTTGCATTGCCCCTGGCATGGACCTGAGGCCCCTTATGGGCTGGAACAGACTGGTTTTGTCACCCCATGCTCCTGATGGCTCACCACCCTTCTCGTTTCCCTTGGTACCACATTTGGTTTTTCCTGCAGGGCCAGATGCGTCTGTCCAAGAAGATGCTGGACCCGGAGAAGCCCCAGCTGGGCATGATCGACCGCTGGTACCACCCGTCCTGCTTTGTTCAGAGCAGAGAGGAGCTGGGCTTCCGGCCCGAGTACAGCGCCAGCCAGCTCAAGGGCTTCAGCCTGCTCTCCCCCGAGGATAAGGAAGCCCTGAAGAAGCAGCTCCCGGGAGTCAAGGGCGAAGGGTGAGTGGAGAGCCGCGGGTGGGGCGTTGCAAAGGGCTTGATGGAGAGAGGCCCAGAGACCCCACAGATTCCGTACCACTCCCATGTTTTTTTGCCAACCATGAGAAAGCCAGGGATGCAGACCACGGACGGCGACCACTGAGCTCCGCCCCTTCCCCAGCTGTGGAAGCAGCGGATGGCAGGCAAGGGCTGCGGGACGCGCCTGGTGGTCTGCTCTGATACCACGCCTGAGCTCTGGGGCCGGCGGAGTGTGTGAGCCCCGCTTCCCTGCAATAGTCTTTGGGGGACATTTAGACACCACTGACCTGCCCCATCTGAGCAGTCCCCTTGCCCCCCACATGACCCACTTTACTTCCCTGTGGCCACCTTCTGTGTGGCGTGTTCCTTTGTGTCAGAGTGGTGCTGGCAGAATCCTCACCGTTTTTAAATGGAGAAGAGGGGACAATGGATAAGACGTTACCTGATTCAGAGTTTAGAATGGCGTGGGCTTCACGTGGTCATATGGTACGAACGTCTAGGGTGGGAGGACCTATCAGGGACTTATCTGGAGTCCGTGGACACGTCTGACTCTCCTGTTTTCCCTCTGCTGGACTTTTGCCCCAGTCTAGCGTTGCTTGGTAACAAGCACATGGAGGGAGCCGTGGCAGGGCCATAGTGTGCGCTGTGCTCCTCGGGCAGTGACTGCCATATTAGGGTCAGGGTGACCCTGGCGTCATCGAGCAGCCGTCATGCATTATTTCAGTTCGTAGTTCATGCACAGTACATATGGCTCTGGAATATATAAGAAAACTGGGAAATTGGGCCCATGGGTTAAAACGCCCCAGGACGTTGCAGCGTGTGGTACAGGTGTAGGAGTGTGTAAGTCACGCATGTGCCGTGACAACCACCGGGGTTGCCGGCGCGCTTGTGGGATGCCAGGCACGGTGTTCAGCGCTTGATGTGGGATGTTTCATTCAACTGTCACCGCAGTTCCATAAAGTAGCTGGTATTTTCTGTGTTTTCACGGATAAGGAAAGTGCAAGGCTTTGAAGAACTCCGGTCAGTGTGATGGCTGAAACAGAGTCAACTGCTGTGGCTTTCCAGTCCCGTTTTTAAGGGCTGCCCGTGACCCTCAGTGCCCTCCTCAAATCAGCGATGACACTGCTGAACTTGGTTAGCAGCGTTTGCTTGGGCAGACCGGTGAGCACTGCCTAGGCTGCCACTTCTCGTTTGGGCCTTAAATGGCAGTGCAGCTCGCCTCTGAGAACGGCCTCGGCCTTAGGAGCAGCCCCGTGTTTCAGAGTCGAGGCCAGCGCCCCTGGTACTGTGCATTATCTTTCTGCCCCTCAGCTGCAAGCTGGCTTCTAACATTGTTCCTATCAGAACCTTTCAGGCCATCTCGTTTGTGCCAAAAGGTACATGGGGTTTCTGATATCACATGGAGCCTGAGCCCTGGGTCCTGGGTCGTTCCAAGGCTCTGGGGCAACCCCCGAGCCCCAACCTTGGCAGCAGAGTACGTTCTGACATGGATGACGCTGGCGCAAACGCTGCCTGAGCAGACAGCGAGTTCCCCAGAGCCCTGCGTGGGAAGCAGGTGTGAGCAGAGCCTGGCAGAGAGGAGTCAAGAACACAGTAAGATACTGTGTCATCCAAGGCACTGGGTTTCCGAGTTTTGATGGCTTTGGTTCTCATATCCTGCCTCTTTCAGAAAGAGAAAAGGCGATGAGGTGGACGGAATGGACCAAGTGGCCAAGAAGAAATCAAAAAAAGACAAGGATAGTAAGCTCGAAAAGGCCCTCAAGGTGAGTTCTGAGCTGTGTCTCATTTCGCCATTGTCTCAGTTCTCTGTCCTCATTCTGGAAGAAGGTTCAAGGAGGTGAACGAGACTTTTAAAAATTCCCAGATCGACAGCTGCTGTTTAATAGCATGGCTTTTTCCCCAGGTGGTTTTCCTTACCCCTTCCCAAAATACCCTTCTTATTTGAAGGAGAACTCGCATTAGGCTCCAGGTGCCAGGCGAGCAGCCAGGCTCAGGCAGGAACTGAGCCATCTGTCCCGTCACCAGCCTCACACTGAGGTGGTAGATTCGTGCTTCAGCCACATGATACATCACTGCATCCTGGACCGTAGGGTCACTTGCAAATATTGGAAACTGAATGTTAAGTTCAAAGATGCCAAAGGTTCTTAGCATAGACAAATGCCTTCAAGAGATGAGATTGTTGCATCTTTTTTTTAATGAAGATCGTGTTTAAGAACCAAAAAGGTCAATAGTCATTGATGAGAGAGATTCATCACTTGTTGACTGCATTTGCATTGAAGCAAAGTAAAAACTATTAATCAAAAAATGCTAGGTGTTCAAAGACCTAGGGTTGAACAGTCTCCTGGGAACGTGATTTCCATGGGCCACCTGCTTGGCTCTTATGTGAGTCTTTAGTTTTTGCCAGTGGTATAAAAATTAGAAGCAATTTGTGGTCTGGTTCCACTTGATAAGAAAGACAAAATTTTCTGTGGTTGCTCTTTGCAAAAAATGTGTTCGTTATGTGCCATATCTGGCTGCAGTAGAGCCGAGGTGCTGTTTTGCATTTGCTTTTCAGTGGGTTTGGCCCTCAAGGTGGCTTTGGCCCGACCCTGTCTCTGCTCCAGTGTTGTCAGATAAAAAGAAAGTCAGCAGTCGAAATGCTCACAGTCCCCGCTCCCTGCGCATTCGTTGCCACTGGCTTCCCGTCTTTGGTCAGTCCTGCTGTCATCTGACCTCCCGCCATGAGACTTTCTCACCTCCATAACCGACGGCCCAGCGCACGGTGCTGTAGGGCGGGGATGTTATTGAGAGGACCCTTACCGTGAAGCCGGGAAACTGCCTTGAATGTGTGTGATGCAGCTTTGCTGGCAAGTTAAAATCCTCACTTGGTGCTGAAAGCGACCCCGTGGTGTTGGCATAGGTAGGGCTGGCATTTTTACCTCGGTTTTGCAGGGATGGGGTCTGAGGCCGAGGTGTGAATGACTTAGCGCCAGCCCTGGCTTTAACTAACATGGGGAGCTGGCGCCTTCCTTGCGAGGTAGTCATGAGAATAAATGAGACTTGAAAAATGACCCACGACGAGTAGGCACTGTATAACTGTTACCATAGAGATTTAAAACTTCATTTTCAAAAGAGCTCGAATCCAGTCCTGCACGAGACTTAGTATGATACACCCTGAAGAGATCGGCGTGTTCGAGCATCACCCCTGCAGCTTTCAGACTGAAGGACAGCCCCGCCCGCCTCCCCGAGCTGCCGGCTGTTGGGCCGGTGGACCTGGGCTTCCAGCTCTTTCCTGTGTCTCCTGGGGTTGGTTTCTCCCGGTGCCCTGGCACTTGGGCCGCAGTCTTCCCCATATCCCTCAGTGGCCCCCCCACCTTCCGTGGTGTTCTCTGGGAGACTGCGGCCCAGGCCACACAAGGATGTGCTTGGAGACGCAGCAGGACCGTGTGGGAGCCCCTCCCTCAGGCAGGTTTCCTGCTTTGGGAAGAGCAGTCCCTCAGCAGCTGGGTCTCGTCCGTAGGCCCAGAACGAGCTGATCTGGAACATCAAGGACGAGCTGAAGAAAGCATGTTCCACAAACGACCTCAAAGAGCTGCTCATCGCCAACCAGCAGCAGATCCCCTCCGGGGAGTCGGCGGTGAGCTGCCTTTGTGTTAAGTGAGGCGCGGGAGGCGGCCGGGCGGTCGTGGATGACGGTCCTCACAGGCTGAGGGAGGCCCTCCGATTGAACACCTGCTGGTATTAACTGGGAGGAGTGAAGTTCCATAGTCATGTTGCATGATCATCATCATCATGGTCACCATTTCCCAATGGCAGGCTCTCCCGGGCCCTTCTAGACCCTTCCAGACCCTTCCAGACATCTTCCACGTGTTTGCCCCTGGGTTAGAATTTGGGTGAGGGCTGAGTCGGCCTGTATTTGCCTCACATGTTCATGCCACGTTGGCCAGAGGGGCTCGCGCTGCTGCCTTCTGCCCAGACTCCCTCCTGAGACTGCTTCCCCAGCAGGCCCTTCCCTGCCCTCTCTCTGGGGAGAGGTTGGCTCTGTTCCTTGTGCAGAAAGGGTGGGTGCTCTGGCTCTCCCTTTACTTCTGAGTCATTGAGGGGAGTGAGAGCTGCAGGAACCCTGAGTGGAACAAAAGTGCAAAATCCCAAGCTCCAGCCGTCAGCCAGCTGCCCGCATGGTGGCGGCCTCGGGGCGAGCCCTCGCTTCTGTTCCGTGAGTGAAGTCTGCAGGTTCTTCATCCCGCATGGCAACGTCCTGTTCTGTAGCCGCCCCCTTCCTTTCTGACTTGTTTCTCCACTGGCTTCAGATCTTGGACCGAGTAGCCGATGGCATAGTGTTTGGAGCCCTCCTTCCTTGCGAGGACTGCTCAGGCCAGCTGGTCTTCAAGAGCGATGCTTATTACTGTACTGGGGATGTCACCCCCTGGACCAAATGTATGGTCAAGACACAGACACCCAACCGGAAGGAGTGGGTGACTCCAAAGGTAAGTGAGGGGGGGTTCTGGGATCTGTTGGCAGAAAAACATGGATACCCTGGTCTTGTCCACACTCCAGGTCACCATTACTGCAATGCGCAGTGTCCCTCAGAGTCCTTTAGAGCCGGTCCAGCCTCGTAATCAGAAAATAAAATTAGGTGATTGATTCTGTATATTTACAAATTACACAAATGTAGAACCAGAGCGTTTCTAGCTGGAGTTACAAGTTTGGTGTAATATCCTTTTGCTTGCAAAGACCATGAATTATATTTATTTGTTTGTCAAGTGCTACTGGGTTCCACTCACCGTTCTAACCACAGGGGACATAATAGTGAATAGGTGGATGATAATTCCTGCCTTTACAGTCAGAGAGTTTTTCTTAAGGATATCTCCTTGCCTTAGTGATAGAGAGGGGATTGGGTTCGGAGTTCAAGTATCTCCTGTTATCCGTCTCTTTTGTAGTAGAGGTACACATTGGATTCTCAGGGTGCAAGAAAATCTCAGTTGAGGAACCTCATTTGGAATTGTGCTGTGGGGGGCTGGCAGCGGCTTTGGGGGGCTGGCTGCTGGAAGATCTCCACCTGTTCCCTCAGACTCAGCTTGCAGTGGTGCCCAGCTGCGTGGGGCAGAGTAGTGGTGCCACTCACTAGGACTTGGGCTTCGATCTCCATCTAGCTCTCTCTTGCTGTGCTGCCTCCTGGGGCTGAGCATTCGGAACAGTGGCACATAGTAACACTCAGTAACTGTTACTTGCCCTGCGAACTCGGCGTCTGCACTCCATTCTTCCGCTGGCTCAGCCCCCTCAGTCCCTGCCTGCTCTGCTCACAACCGTAGTTACGCACCCTCACGCCTACTTTCCTCTGTACTTTTTCTCAAGTGGTAGCACTAAAACAGATTTGGCCCCATTTCCGCCACTCAAAATCTCACCGTGATTCCTACAGAAATATTTTCCCGGGTTTTTCTGAGTGTACAAATGTTACAAAACCGTTTGTGGTATTTGTTTTCTTCCTACTATCTTTGGGAAAATAATAAGTTAGTAACGTGAACTATTGTGTACTTTATGTGTCGGTTGCACAGCATCTGTCTATGTTTTCAGAGGGGCATCTGCACATGCAAGACTTTTCAGGTCAACAGCGTGCTTGCTGCCCATGCAGATTTATTGGTTCGCAGACACCATGCAGTGACCATGCTGCCCAGAGGGTCCTGGCGCCCAGAATCTGGGTTGGCTCCTTAGCTAGAATCCCCCCACCCCCAGTGCCCTCCATGATCTGGCTGTGTCGGCCTTCTGTGATCTCTCTGCCACCCTTTTTGTCCTCAGTTACTGTTCTCATCACCCACTCACCCCCTACCCCCCCCACCCCCCCACACACACCCATTCATCACACTCCCAGCAATGTGGAATTGACTACCTAGGGTTCCCAGCAAACTGCGATCTGTATCAGTAAAATGCCTTTGCCTAGACAGCCCGCTGCTTTTTCATCTCCTAGCCAGCTTAGCAGGTCACGGCCTCCAAGGGGCCTTCCCAGCGTTCCCAGTCTCGCATCGCCTTAGCATGGCTCAGGTTTAGAACTAACCTGTGTTAAAGCTTGCTTTTATACACCTGGCTATCAGTCAAGGTCGAACTTCTTTCTCAAGGGTAGAAACTGTCTTTGAGCTCACTGCCGTGTGGCACGTTAGGTGCTCAGCGTATGCTGGACGCGATCTGCTACCTCTCATCCAGCAGGCGTTCATCGAACATGGATGTGGCGGGGAGGGCTGTGTCATGAGTGGATGAAGACCGAGGTGCGTAGGAGCTGTGGCAGTCCCCGAAGCCGTGTACACTAGCGCCCCCTCATTCGCGGGGGACAGCCCCAGTGGATGCCTGAAACCAAAAAGAGAACCAAATGCTGGCCATAGTAAATAGAATGTGGGTTACTCAGATGCAGGCACCACAACACCGTGACGTTCTGATAACCGAGGCGGCTGCTAAGTGACTTGTGGGCAGGTGGCGTATACAGTGTGGGGACACCGAACAAAGGGGTGCTTCATCCCTGCGCGAGATTCATCAGCTACTCAGAGTTTAAAACGTAAGGATTGTTTCTTTCTGGAATTCTCCATTTAATCTTTTTGGACAGAGATTGAAACCTCAGAAAGCAAAACCGTGGATAAAGGGGCAGTCTACGACTATATTTGATGTTTGTTGAGTGACCAGACCACTTAGAGCATAGCCCATTGCGAATCACCTGAGATGAAGGTGGACTGTGCTAATGGCAGACTATGTTGAAAACCAACTTTGGCTGTGGTCTCTGCATCCCTGTCCCCTTCTGCAGAGGGGAAGGAATTGCCCTGATTTTGTGGGGAGGGGTACTAATCTTTCTCCCAGTGTGTGAGTCTTGGGGCAGGGGGTCTTTCGGTCATGGAATAGGCACGTGACGCTACAGAGGCCTGCTGACTCCTGAGGAGGACAACTCGGGAATAAGGCCTGGGGTGTTAGGTTCCAGCTGTGGTTCACTGACCATATCTGATTTTTTTTAAGCAAAACATTTTTATCTTAAAGCATGCATAGTACCAGCTGTATTATAAATGGAGAAGCGCTAGAAATAAGTGCGGTATCCTCAGTGCTGGATTTTATACTAGAAGCTTCATGTTTTCTTACGTTCTTTATTGTGAGAGGGAAAAAGATTTTGTCATTTGGACCAGAGAAATCCTCTGCTCTATCAGGTGGTTATTTCAAGGGAGAACTGGTTTCTTAACTGAAACTTAAATTCTTTAGGAATTCCGAGAAATCTCTTACCTCAAGAAATTGAAGGTCAAAAAGCAAGACCGTATATTCCCGCCAGACACCAGCGCCCCAGTGGTGGCAGCACCGCCGCCCGCCTCAGCCTCTGCGCCCATGACCATGAACTCATCTGCCCCGCCAGGTAGAGAGCTCCAGGGCCACGGTGGCTGGGGGTGGGCTTGGGCCTCGTTCTTAGGGGGAACAGGGTATCCTTCTGAGTTTTCTGTTGCTGATCCTGTGGGGAAGCCCTACCCCGCCCCCAGATTGGGAGGGGGGCTCCAAGGAAAAGCCAGGTAGGCAGCCTTACCTGGAAAGGCATCCAGTGTATCCTGCCTGACCGCCCTGCAGAGCATCTGTCAGATCTCGATTCCTGCCTCCGGGCAGCCCTGCACCCCTCAGTCTCCCTGAGCACAATGTGCTGCTGGGGTCTCGCACACAGAAACTTGTATGTGTTGCCGAGGAAGGTACTGATCGATATTACTGAGAAATATTCCACGCCGACGAAAACAGTGAGATAAATTTGTCTTTGTCACCAGAAGAGACCCACTGCCTCATGTACTCAGGGTCGCCTGGGGGCTTGCAGGACTTCTTGCAGGGTTCCTCTCGTTCTGGGGACATGTAACCAGCACTGTGTTCCCAGCAGCTACAAGCAAGGCACACCCCTCTTCCGGTGCTTTCTGGCCTAGGGTCAGTGCTGGATGCCTCTAGTGATACTTCTTTTTGCCTAGAATCAATTGCCTCAGCTCGCCACGATCAAAGCTTTGAGTGACTGTTATGGACAAGTCTAATTTTTTTAATGGGGTTAACTAGTAAATATTGCATTAAAAATTACAGTTTGTTTTTAGACGTGAGATGGGAGACAAGTAATAAAAGTAATTTGGGGTTCTGACAACCTACCCTTTTGCTTCCCATCCCACTGCCAGCTTCCTGGTCCCCCATCCCCAAATACAGCCTTTCTGTACCCGGGGATGAGGGCAGTGTCTCAGGTGGAGTTCACTGTCGTGACCTCTGCTTTCCCACTAGCCTTTTACTTCTGCTTTCATAGACTTCCCTCAGGAGAAGCGGTGAACGGGGAGTGCTCAGGCTGTCCAGGGGCCCTGCCGCCTGCTCTGGCCTTTCCCGGGTGCTTGTCGCCTGGCTTCCTGCTCCTCCCCTCCCCTTCCTGGCTAGCAGTCCTGCCTCACAGTTCCGTTCTCTCATCCCAGATAAGCCATTGTCCAACATGAAGATCCTGACTCTTGGGAAACTGTCCCGGAACAAGGAGGAAGTGAAGGCCACAATCGAGAAACTCGGGGGGAAGTTGACAGGGACGGTCAACAAGGCCTCCCTGTGCATCAGTACCAAGAGTGAGTTGCATTGTGTTTGTAAAGCCGAGATAACGCTGTCTCTTGTGATTGCGATGAGAATTAGGTGAAATGCTTAACACAGCATCTGACGCACAAACAGCACTCAGAAAATGAGCCTCTTATGAGCATCGTCGCTGTGGTTCTGTGTGGAAGGAAGCCCGCGTTTGCACCTTATGCTGCTGCTCCGTGTTGTAGCATGTTCACACGTGTCTTCTGGTCCCCACTTAAGACTAGGCTACTCTCATCACCTAGCGCTCTTCCACAAGATGCTGCCAAAACAAGAGTTCACAGGTTCAGTACAGGAAGTTTGGGAAATGCAGTTAAACAAAGGTAAATAGGTTCCTTTGCAGGGTAATTATACTGACGCCCATTGCAAGTCTCCAAGACCAGAGAAGTAGCATTTTCCATATGTATTTGACCTCGGGACTCTGTGGAAGATCTGTTAACATCTCATTCTGTAGGGGGCTTTGGAGAAGGCGGCCCTCACTCACCGTACCGTAGAGAACGGGGAACATGGCCGATAAGACCGTTGTTGAGACGTCCTATGACACTGGATTTGGAAGGAAAGGGTTGCTGTGGGGGATGAGGGTTTGGAAGTACTTACTACGTACGACTCTAGTAATTTGAGATTCAAGTTTAGTTTTAAGCTTACTGTTCAGATTTTTTTCTTTTTCTTTCTGATTCGAACAGAGGAGGTAGAAAAAATGAATAAAAAGATGGAGGAGGTAAAAGAAGGCAACATTCGCGTCGTGTCTGAGGATTTCCTCCAGGACGTTGCCGCCTCCACCAAGAGCCTTCAGGAGGTGCTTTCAGCCCACATCTTGTCCCCCTGGGGTGCCGAGGTGAAGGCGGAGCCTGTCGAAGTTGTGGCCCCAAAAGGGAAGTCGGCTGCGGTCTCTAAGAAGAGCAAGGGCCCCATCAAGGAGGAAGGTGAGTCCCTGAGCTGCCCATCCCTGGGAGCTGAGAGGCAGGGACGCCAGTGGCCCCATTCTGCCGTAGGTCATGGCTGTCCCAGGTGGCCAGGTCCACCTTTTGCGGCGCTGCTCTCTTGGTGACCCTGAAGTGGCCTGTTGAGTGCTGCCAGGGCCAATTTCGTCAGTCTCGTTTTCCCTGGGTCCAGAATGACAGGTGCTTTGGGGTGGCGGGAGGCAGCGCACAGGTGTCATGTTGGCATGTGATGTGAGTGAAAAGGACCCACTTGCCTTCCACCTTCCCCCCTTTTGTTTTTTTAATTTAATGTTTATGTTGTTCTGTTCCTTCCAAGGAATCAATAAATCTGAAAAGAAAATGAAATTAACTCTTAAAGGAGGAGCCGCTGTCGATCCTGACTCTGGTGAGCAACGTGAATGCTGTGATTAGAGAGGGGCTGCCCTTGCCCGCGTTTAGTGTATGAAATCAGGAAACGGGGTGGCAGCGGGGCCCAGCTCTGCCCTCCTGCCTCTTCTCGGGCTCCCCCAGTCCTAGCACACACATTTCTTTTGGGAAACCTCCCAAAGGTGGCGTTAGGGTAGCCAAGCTGGCGTGGACCTTGTCCCTGAGCCCACCGGCCCCCCTGCGGGGGCGGAAACTATAGGACCCCTGCCTCCTTGCGACAGGTCTGGAACACTCTGCACACGTCTTGGAGAAAGGCGGAAAGGTCTTCAGCGCCACCCTCGGCCTGGTGGACATCGTTAAAGGAACCAACTCCTATTACAAGCTGCAGCTCTTGGAGGATGACAAAGAGAGCAGGTGTGTTCTGGGGACGGAGGGTGTTCGCGGGAGCTGTGCTCCGTGACAGGTGCGGACCTGTTTGTGCCATGCTGACAGCCTCACGGAACCCACGTTTCCCAGCCCCTGGGGGTTTGGTCCCCTCCCACAGAACACAGGGTGTAACGAGGCCTCTAATGAGAGAGGGGGACCACCAGACAGCTTTGCTCTGGCGCAGTGACACATGATCTACGCTCTTTTCTTGTAGCCACTCGAAGAGTCTAGATTTTCTGATAGATGTTTTTATACATGTTTTTAAATTTCTAAAGCAGCGTTTGGCAAGAACTAAACTTACTCTTTACTATTACTTTAAACTTCCTAGTTACTAAAGATGTTTGAGTTTGACTTGTTTGGGCTTTTCGTTTGTTTGTTTTTAACCTGGTAGAGCTAGGCAGGGACCAATTCTGGGGTGCTGAGGGGCCGAAGATCTGGACTGGCTTTTACCATCCCCCTCTCCACTGATTGTCCCAACATGAAATGCAAACTACGTGTAGGTGGAAAGGTGTGTGGAAGGAACTCTTACTGAGTTTCTAATGGTGAAAAACGGACTTTTTAAAGAATTACCTTCATATGTTAAACTTGACCTTTTTAGTGTATGAAATCAGTTACCTATTGGAACTCCAGAGATCCAAAAAGCTTTACTAGTTGAAAGGCAAACCCCTGTGATTGTAACTCCCTGGTAACCCCAGGGAGCTACAGTCAGTACCTGGTCAGCCACAGTCAGTACCTGGCCAGCCATGCCAGCCTCAGTTTGTAAGCACGGTCACAGCTCAGGTTCTTCCCATCTCTTTAGCTTTTCACCAAACCTTTCACTTAAAAAGTGACCTTCGAAGGTGACCCTAAAAGAGTATAAAGTATCTGGCTGGCTACTTAAAATTTCTGAAGAAATAAACCATATCTGTTGTTTTGTTTAGTAGCTACTCTTGACAGAGACTTGAAAGTCAAAAAATGGTTTCTTGCTTATAAAATATACCTTCCAAAAGCTAGATGTATATTGTATTGAGGAAGAGCAGGTAGGATTTTTGTAGAAATGTACAGTGTCATAGTCTGTTAAATAACAGGCAATGAGAATAAAAATTTCCACCACCAACAGAAGAGAAATTCTAATGGTGATTGTGGCATGCGCGTTTTCCTGTAGGCCTAAGATTTACTGGTTTTTAGAGTGAAACGGTCGTGAGGGCTGTTCGGGTCAGGATGTTTCAGTATGGTGTCTTCCAAACACTTCCAGGAGGAAAACTCCAGCAGAGAATGAATTTATGCGTCTCTGGACAATAGCCCAGGAAAATAGCAGGAAGCCCCAAATTTTCTTTGAACTCTGGTTTTACCTTAAAAACGCATAAGTCTTGTGTTTGGGTTTCTGATATACTTATTGTGATGTAAAATTTAACTTATTCATTACTTCCACGAAGGCAGCACAGCACCTAGGGTACCATGATGTGTGCCCTAAATTGAGATGGAAACAAAACTATGGCCTGGGTCTGAAGGTAGCTAAGCCCGAGTGCCGCTGTCTCACCCCGTCCCATTTCGTCACTTCTTGGCTTCTGGTCTGAACCAAAAGTTCTTCGTTATCTTTAGGTCGTGTCATTAATGGTTGCATCTCCTTAAACACATGAGTTCCAAATGATTCTTGCTATATTTCTTTGGGGAGCGAAAGTAGGTGTTTTTATCTAAAGGTCTGTAGGCCCAAGCTTTGTTCCTCAAGCTCGGCTACCAGGTGCAAGCGTAAGCTGTTCTTTGGCACTTTGGTAATCCATTCACCAACATGACTTGGAAGGGCATTCTCTAATTACTTTAAATTTATAACGCTCAGTTTCATGAAACGTAAAACAAAGGTCCTTTATTGTAACATCGATTCCTTTTGTTCCTCTGTCAGTCACCATCATTTTGGGATGTTTAGGATTTTTTCTCACCCAAGTGGAATGTCACGGAAGGGAAGTCCACCCTGAAATGGGACCAGCTGACCTACAAATTTGTATCCAATGCTTCCCCTCCACACACAGGTACTGGATATTCAGATCCTGGGGCCGCGTGGGCACGACGATCGGTAGTAACAAACTGGAGCAGGTGCCGTCCAGGGAGGATGCCGTCGACCTCTTCATAAAATTGTATGAAGAGAAAACTGGGAATGCCTGGCTCTCCAAAAACTTCACAAAGTATCCCAAAAAGTTCTACCCCCTGGAGATTGACTATGGCCAGGTAATCTCTTAACGGTCTTATACCATCTAGTTCTAGTAAAAGGAAGGGACACCATAGTCTTTTAAAAACTTGCCATGGTGAATGCTACCAAATGTTTAAAGGATTAATACAAGTCTTTCACGAACGCTTCCAAAAGATAGAAAATGAAGGAACATTTTCCAGCTGATCATATGAAGCCAGTGTTACCTTGATATTAAAAGGAAAACTAAAGACCAATATCCCTCTAACTAGAGGTGGGAACCCCTGAACAAAGTACTAGCAAACTGAATCTAGCAGCGTGTAAGGGTTGTACACTGGGACCAAGCTGGATTTATCCCAGGAATGTAAGGTTGGTTCAACATACGAAAATCCATTAGTGTAATATTAAACACATGAGTAGAATAAAGGTTAAAAGCCACACAGTCATCCTAAATAGATACCAGAAAAGGTATTTAATAAAATTCAACATCTTTCGTGAATAAAATCCACACCATGAAGTATGAGAATGGGTCTTAATATAGTAGCATTTTTAAGACCCTCAAGGAGGCACAGTTCTTGAACACAATAAGGAGTCATTCATGGACTCCAGGTAAGGCTTCTTATCTGAACCTGTTTCTTCATGGATCATGTGACCTGGTTTATCATTGAGATAGAATTATAGTGACTTGATGTGTTCTAGGTCACAGATTTTTTGTTTTTGTTGAGGTATAATTGATTTATGCATACATGTTATTAATTTCAGGTATACAGTGTAAGGATTCGCTATTTGTATATATTGCAAAGTCACCACATTAAGTCTAGTAACATCCATCACCACACTTAGTTACAGAAATGTTTTCCTTATGAGAATTTTGAAGGTCTACTGTCGGCAACTTTCAAATATGTAATATGGTACTCTGAACTTTCGTCTCACCGTGCTGTCCGTTACATCCCCGTGGCTTGCTCATTTTATAAGTGGATGATTATGTCTTCTGAGCCGCTTTACCCATTTCGCCCTCCCCGCCCCCCCTCCCCGCCCCACTTCCTGCCTGTGGCAACTACTAGTCTCTTTTCTGTGTCCATGGGCTTGTTTTAGGGTTATAGGGTTTTTTTCCCTTGGTGTTTTGTTTTTTTGTTTCTCGTTTTTTTTTAAGAATCTACATATAAGTGAGATTATACAGTATTTGTCTTTCTATGAGCTATTTCACGTAACATGATGCTCTCAGGGTCCATTTATGTTAAAAATGGCAAGATATTGTTTATAGCTGCATGATATCCCGTGTATGTGTATAGTCTATTTTCTTTATCCACTCATCTGTCGGTTGATACATAGCTGGTTTCCACGTCTTGGCTATTGGTTATAATGCTGCTACGAACATGGGATAGAGTATGTATATCTTTGAATTAGTGTTTCCTTTATCTTACGCTAAATATCCAGAAGTGAGTAATTGCTGGATCATATGGTAGTTCTACTTTTAATTTTTTAAGCAGCCTCCATACTGTTTTCCATAGTGGCTGCACCAATTTACATTCCCACCAACAGGGCTCGTGGGTCCCCTTTTCTCCACATCCTCACCAGCACTTGTTCTTTCATTTTTTATTTTTCAGAATAGCCGCTCTTAACAGGTGTGATGTGATATCTCATTGTGGTTTTGATTTGCAATTCCCTGGTGATTAGTTATGGATCTCTTGGCCATTTGTATGTCTTTGGAAAAATGGCCATTCAAGTCCTCTCTGCCCATTTTTTAAATCAGATTGTCTGGTGTTGTGTTTCGTTTTGCTTTTTGGCTGTTGAGTTGTATGATTTCTTTATGTATTTTAGATATTAGCTCCTTATCAGATACATGATTTGCAAATATTTTCTTCCATTCAGTAGGTAACCTTTTTACTTTTGTGGTGGTATCCTTTGCTGTGCAGATAGGTCAGTTTTTATTCTCAAATTATTTCCTAATAATTTCCTAAAATCTGCATTATTTGTATTTGTACCTTGGCTGTATCCTTACATATTTATAGACAGTTGTCTTTTGGCTGATATTTTTGTGACCATTTGTTTTGACAAATGCTTGCTTTGTTTTTCTATGAAATCTTGTTACTTTTATAATCTAGGGAAAACACAATTTATTTTGCAGAAGGAAAGACTTATGGGTGGGTACAAGTTTTAATTCTAAATCTTTGAGGACTAGCATGTCTCACAGGGAGGACTCTCTGGTTTATAGATAATAAAAATGTGTGATCATTTATGCATGCATTTTAGTAGCTACATTTTAAAAAGCAAAAAACAGTTAATACTAGTAATTTATTTAACCTGCTATATCCAAAATAATCATTTCAGCACATCGATATTAACAAAATTATTGAGATATTTTACCTTTTTTAACTAAATCTTTGAAATCCAGTATATTTTTAACCCCTACACACATCTCAATTTAAAATGGCCACATTTCAAAACCAGTGGCTATTGTATTAACCTGAATTGCTCTAGAGCACGATATCTTAAGGCCGTACAGAATTCCACCTTGCGGATGGCCATAATTCGTAATTTAACAAACAACACAACGCCCCACCCCATTAGGGAGTTAGATTATTTGACGTAACAATGCTGCTATACATATAAATATCTGGAGATAGAGTTAATCACAGCATACGTGCATTTAAATTTAGGCTTTTTGATACATGAATATCAAAAAGTTTGCCCTCCAGTGAAGTCATAACCTGGGAGTGAGAGCGCATTTAAGACAGTGTTTCAGCGTCAAGAGTAGATCCTCTGTGATGCTGACAACAAGCCATGAGCACTGACACAGCACAGGCTCCTCTCTGCAGCTTGGTTAAGCCAGGCAGATCTCAGGGTCAAAGACTAATGCCAGTCACCTTCACCTCGAGCAAACATCAAACACTGTTAGTTGCTAAGGACACTTTGATGGACAGCATGCAGCCCCTGCCTTCTTGGGATTCAAAAGTGAGAAGAGTTAAGGCATTTCCAATACAGTGTGGTCTTGACTTACCCTAGATTGTCCACATAGCAAGAGTTAAGTCTTATGCTATTAGTTTATTAGGAAGTACAATCCCAGGGAGCAGGGGCGATTGTTAGGGGGCTGTTAGGGGAGGGAGGATGGGGGTTAATGCTAAGATGTGCTTCTGGGTGCCTGGTAGGAAGTGGAGCTGGTTGCCTGATCCTTTGGGACTACAGAGAAGGTTGTAAACTTAGTTCACACAGTTGGTGCTGGGGTGAGGCAGTGCAAGAGAAGTGGGGAGCATGTGTCCAGTGTCCCCTTGGTCGGAGGTTTGCTCTCACAGCGGCCCAGCCCTTCTGGGACAGGCACGAGGAGGCACTGGGCGGGTTTCCAGGCGGGGCTGCAGCAGCCCCGGGGTGGGAGGCAATGAGGGTGCAGCGGGGAGCACGAGTGCCTGCAGGTCAGCCTGTACCGAGCTGGGTGCTGCAGTGGTGGCTAGAATAAGAATCTGGTGCATAGGAAGTGTCTGGGCCCTCTGCAAACTCATACCTGCTCCTCTGGCAACAGCTACCCCAACCTTGTTGATTGGCGCTCAGCCCCTCTGCACGCCAGCCTGGATCCTTTACCTGCAGCTCGAACCCCTACCACCAGCACCACTTTGGGTTGTTTAACTGGGTCTCCTACTGATTTTCTTTTTCCCTAAAGGATGAGGAGGCTGTAAAGAAGCTGACGGTGAACCCTGGCACCAAGTCCAAGCTCCCCAAGCCAGTGCAGGAGCTCATTAAGATGATCTTTGATGTGGAAAGTATGAAGAAGGCCATGGTGGAGTACGAGGTACTGCATTTTGTTGTTTGATCGTGAGCACTTAACTGGAGTTGCTGAGCTGGGGCTGGGTTCCGTGGCTGGTCTCGTTGGATGCCGGTGTCTCTACTCGTTCCTCATTCTGAGACAGATGCAGGTGTGCTGAGGCCTAGAGTGCTCTCTCTTGGCCAAGGGTCACTGGACTTGCTGTGAAATGTTGGGTGTGTTACAGAGAGCGTCCCCTGAGCCCCCAGGCGCCCTTGCACCTTCCTCTTTCTGGCTGCCATGATAGAATCTGTATACACGCTTTTGTGGCCCAACCGAACGGCCAGCCAGAATTGTCCTGGCAAGTCCAGGATGTGGCCCACTTCCAGGAAAAGAACAGCACAACCAGCATTGACCGGCGTGCAGACAACTCTGACACTTGCTTCATCAGATAAAGTTCATACCATCTATTTTTAGGAAGAGGTTGGGCACGGGGCTGGGTGGGGTAGAGGTGATGGTGGTGGGGTTAGTGCCTCTCCTCCCTGCTCAGGGCAGAGTGGCAGGGACGGCAGTCTGAGCGTCCCCTATTCTGTACCTTGCCTCCCTTCTTCCCCAGCCCTGGAGCCCAGAAGCTTCAGGCCGCTCTGAACAAGGATCAGGGGACCAGTGTCAAGGGCAGGAGTTGTGGATCAGCCTTGCCCATTCCGCCCCTTCCCTGAAGGCTTGCTCCCTCCCTGCTCCTTCCCAGGTCCTTTGGGAGGCTACACCCAGCCTTGGGGCACAGGGAACAAACCTGAGTGGTACAAACCACTGGTAGCCTCTTTCTCTTCATCCCTGTGTCACTGCGTGGAGCTCAGCCTGGCAGGATGCTCAGGGCCCAGTGGTGTTAGAGAGCCATGTTGAGTGACGTCCTTTTTGCAGATGGCCTGGGCTTGTGCTGGGTGGTGTATTTCACAGTGAGTGCAGGGGTGAGAGAGCTCTGGGCGACTTACCCTGCAGTACATAAAGTGAGCGAGAATCTTCTCTCCCAGGCTCTGCGCAGACCCTGCAGAGGCATGGGATTGTAAAGTCTGCAGAGTTGGGTCACCAGGTCTCCCCAGGAAGACCAGGCGGCCCAGGAGGGGATGCTTCTTTCGGGAACCCAGGAGGCCTGAGGAGTTCTCGGTCCAGCTCTTGGTTGTCACTCTGCACAGTGCCTGGCCTTCAAGGGGGATCCCTTATCTCCACAGATTGACCTCCAGAAGATGCCCTTGGGGAAGTTGAGCAAAAGGCAGATCCAGGCCGCATACTCCATCCTCAGCGAGGTCCAGCAGGTAAGCCAGGGGCCGGCCCCTCCTCTGTCCCAGCTGCCCCTTGGGTCTCTTGGGACAAGCTCTCGTCCTGGGGGTGTGGCAGTACATTTACTCAGGGTTAGTGAAATAGACATACCAAGCCACAATTCATGATGATTTCCATTTTTTTCAATCCAACAAATATGACAGGTGCCTGACCCTTATGGAAGATGGTCACAAAACTAATGAATTAGTGTTTTCAGTGATCAGATGTGTAATAAATTCCCTATAAATTTGATGAGGAATTCGGTTCTCCTGCCTCATAAGTGTCGTGATTTTATTTTGTGTATTAAGATAAGCTGAATTTATTTTGCCATTACTAGGAAGTCATCAAATAGAAAGCTAAATAATGCCTTATTTCCATTCACTCCGTATCAGCTTTTCTACAAAGTCCCCATCCCTGGAGCCTTTCAGGCTTGGGCCCGGAGGGTTCCACTTGTGTTTGGGATGGGGTACAGGCTTGGCTCGTGAAAGAAGAAAAGTCTGCGGGAGGCCAAAGTGGGGCCAGGAAAGCGGACTTCTTGACCACTGCTGGAGAAGAGGCCCCGAAATGTAGCAGTTAATCCACTTAGTGCAGGTCTGAGCAGCAGCCACTTTCCATGTGACCCACCAGCTGGATGTGAAAGGCTTTCTTCAGCCCAAGCCTTTCCTGTTCCGGAACGCCCAGGTGGAAGGGCTGGGGCAGTGTCCTCACGCTCTGCACAGAGCAGACCGCAGTGGACAGAAGTCTTAGGATTTGGAGAAGCTGGCGTCCCGGAGAGAAGCAGACTTGGGGCTTTGGGCCTGCAGGGTGTCGACTCACCACCCTCTACCATGCTAGGGTGTCTGCCGAGTGTGCGTCGCCCCGTCACCCAGCCCCTGCGTCTCCGTGCATTTGTCGAGCACTTGTGCATAGAGAGCACCGAATGGCATTGTGGCAGGAAGGAGAGTTTAGCCCTTCTGGACCTGGCCACCTGGACCTCCGGTTGCAGTAAAAATTAATTTCCTGCCTTAAAGATGAAGTTCAGTGGATGGAAGGGAGCCAGACTGAATTTTATAGTAATGAGTTTTTTTCCCTTTTAACAATTTATTATAAAAAGCTTTCAAACATAAAAAAGCTGAAAGAATTACATAGTGGTCCCCCGTCTCACCCCATAGATGCTACAGTTCGCATTTTGCGTAGCAGTGGGGGTTTTATAAGTCTATAACTGCACCACTTTTTACACAGGTGAGGTTGTCTGTGGGAAACGGATCACGTGCTGGGCCGTGCAGCGTGAGGGTGGGGAGCTGCCGCTTCGGGGCGGCCTGACACGAGCAGGACCGTGGCCTCGTGGGCATCTCCCTGTGCACACGCGGGGCCACCTCGGGACTCCGCTGTGGCACCCCCTTCCAAAGGAAAAAGCCCGGCCCAGTGCCGAGGCCTCGGAGCTGCGCCTCAGCCTGCGTTTCCTCCCTCCCCTCCCCTAAAGGCAGTGTCCCAGGGCAGCAGCGACGCCCAGATCCTGGATCTCTCGAATCGCTTCTACACCTTGATCCCCCACGACTTCGGGATGAAGAAGCCTCCGCTCCTGAACAACGCAGACAGCGTGAAGGTAGCAGGGAGCCTCCGACGTGCTGGTTTTGGTCCCAGTTGGGGTGTCGCGGGCCCCCCCCATGACTGCCCCTCCATGTCATGGTCCTGAGAGAAGGGGCCAGTGCTGGGAAGGCCACTGTCCTGCCATCATTTTGAAATGGGGTTTCTACCCACGTTGGTGGAGCCAGAACATGGGCAGAGCAGGCAATGTCTCTCCATTGCCCCAGCCTCATAGAGGAGCCAGCCACAGGTCCCCACCTGACACCAGTGCGTATGAGTGGAAAAACAGGTCTCAGCACAGCCCCGTGGCTGCTGCCTCCCTCCCCCTCCCCCAAGGAGCAAGCCCTTCTCAACATTCCAAGAAATCCTCAGGAGTCTTCGCTACGACATGTCGGTGACACACTGTCCCCGACCAGTTGGGAGGTCCCTCCACTGTCCGTGTGGGCCGTCATCTGCCTGTGTGTTTTCTATGCCAAAATGGCGAGTTGTTTTCCCTTGCTCCAGGTTTTCCTTTGTCACTCCAGGTTTTCCTTTGTCCCTCCAGGCCAAGGTGGAAATGCTGGACAACCTGCTGGACATCGAGGTGGCCTACAGTTTGCTCAGGGCTGGGTCTGAGGACAGCAGCAAGGACCCCATCGACGTCAACTATGAGAAGCTCAGAACCGACATTCAGGTAACAGGGCCTGCCCTTTCCAGAGCATCCCGACCACCCAGCCCAAGAGCCCTGGTCTGTCCTCCAACTTGACCGTGCACCAGGGTCTCCTGAGAGCTTCCAGATTGCAGTGGCCCAGAAGCTGGTTCTTTTTTTGTCAAGTCCCAGGTGCTACTGGTCTTTTGGGAACCACAGCGTTTGCCCTGTAAATACGCACCTTGTTTGCGTGGCGGGCTCCCAAGCCAGGGCCTCGGTTTGCTTTAGAGACTGGTTTTGCGGAGCCTTACGGAAAGGTTTTTTTTTTTTAACTTACTCTGGAGATGATCTGTCTTTGGGGATTGTTGTGGCATGAACCCTAGAAAGTTTGCTCCTGGTACCCCTTTTCAGAAGTGGAAAAGCCTGATAGTGGCTTTAATAAAAACACGTGCCTGGGTTTGTATTCTCCAGCTGAAGCTGCTGTGTTGGTGCACACAGTCCTTGAACTTCAGTACTTTGGAGGTTTGGGCAGAAATCACCCTGCCTAGGCCAAACGAGGAAGGGGTTTTCGCCCCTCCTCCTACCTTGCCCTGACCTTAAGCCCGGTCTCACCTGCCATGTGCCTCGCTCCTCAGCCTCTGCATCCCTCCCTGCAGAGGCACAGGGTTCAGGTGCGCTGGGGTCTGGCGAGCCTGGCGTGGTGTTTACATCACTAAAAAGAGCCTTTGCTTCTTGCTTAGGACAAAGCATGGGTCTGAGGCTCTGAGCAGGTAAGACACCAGGTCATATGCTTTGCCCCTGGGGCACCTGAGATGGGACGGCCATCGGCATGGTTCTCTGTGAAGGGGCTGTCATTCGCCCCGTTTACAGTTTTGAAGCCTTTTAAGTAAGAGTCTGAGGAAGAGCAGAATTCCTGGATTTTCTGAATTTTGGGTAAGACTGTGAAAACGCAAGAGAGCACACATAGCCTTTCCCATGACACACTCATGTTCGTTTTGCACAGACTACATTAATTAGTTGGCAGGTAGTGGGGGATATTCTAAGCCACAGTGCGCATAGCCCTGAGGATTCAAGAGATGGCGCCTCCATCCCCAGCTGCAGACCCCTATGGTTAATTGGATCTCTGCCCCTTTGAATTGCAAATCTTGGCTGTGGGGTGTCTCCTGGCCCACGTTTTAAGTTCATGAACTGGAATGTTACCTGGGAGCCAGCTCTCTGTTCTGGGGGCTCCCTGTCCACAGTGAGCCCCGGGTTTCTAGTTTACTGCTATCCCAAAGAAGCCGATGGCCAAGCAAGGGACCGCTGACCTGGGACCTCCCCAGTCACGGGGCCTGGGACACAGGCTCTCAGTCGCACCTGGGCTCCCACGAGGGCTGTAGTGTGATCTGTGTGTCAGCCGAGCCTATGATTGTCCTTCTCCTGGGGTCTCCCTTGCTCTGACTCCAAGACACCCTTCTCCTAGGTGGTGGACAGAGATTCTGAGGAAGCTAAGATCATCAGGAAATACGTCAAGAACACTCACGCGACCACACACAATGCGTATGACTTGAAAGTCATCGATGTAAGAATCTCTTTTTCCTCTGTCCCCTTATGTCCTGTTAGCTCTTCCTGTTCATTCCTCCATCCTGGGCAGAAAAGAGCATTTTACTGCTTGACATAATCAAAGGAAGTGATTTCATTTATTAAGCAAAAAATTAGTAGTCTCGTGGTTTGGCGTGGCTTTATTCTGTTTTAAAAGACATTTCTTATCCCAAAACCTGGTTTTAGAATCGGGGGTCCAAAATGAAATGCTTCAGGTGTGCATCTGCTACACCTAGTATTTATTTTAGTCGCTAGTTTCTGCTAGATGGGACCTTGACAGGTCAGGTTGCTCCATCGTGATTGAAACACCTTATATGCTCCAAGAGCTATTAAGTTTCCAGGCTCTGGGGACAACCAGTCAGTCCTGTATCTATTCAGATCCCCGGGTTAACCAGAGTCACAAACGGCTTCCTTCGTTTCTCTTGTTTAATATTCCTACCAGATCTTTAAGATAGAGCGTGAAGGGGAGAGCCAGCGCTACAAGCCGTTCAAGCAGCTGCATAACCGAAGGCTGCTGTGGCATGGGTCCAGGACCACCAACTTTGCTGGAATCCTGTCCCAGGGTCTCCGGATCGCCCCACCTGAAGCGCCTGTGGTAAGTGCCTGGCTGGGGGAGTGTGGAGTGGGCAGTGCCTGTCTCTGCACTTGGCTCCGTAAAGAGCTTATTTAGGTGAGAACTGTACATGCCCCAGTGAGTAAGGAGTCTTGTTTAAAGCTGTGGGTATTGTCTCGGCCGTGGCTGACAGGTGGCCAGGCATCCCTCTCCAGGCCCTCAGCACAGCCCCTCAGGTAGTACCTGCACACCCAATCTCCCATCCCAACTCCCGTGGTGGTGGTGTGGCTGCATGTGTCAAGCATAGTTTCTGGAACAGAAGAAGTGTCCAGGCCGTGCTGGGAATGCTAGTTGGGATGTCAATGTGCAAAGAATGGACTTTGGCCACGGGCCAAGCCGAGTTCCCATCTGCCTCCACCACTTCCCAGCCGGGTAACCGCTGTGAGCTCCGGTGCCTTCCTCGGGAAAATACAGTAATGAATTGTCGTGTCACCTATTGGACTACAGAAATGGCCAGCTGGACAGGAAATTGGAGGTGGTCTTCCAAGCCTCTCATTTTACAGGTTTAATGACTCTAGTGCTGTGCAGTAGCTCGTGATTTGGGCAGATAACCACTCTGAACCTCGTGTTTTCACTTAAAAGTAATAAAAATAGTAGCCGACGTTGATCGGGTGTTTACACGTGTCAGGTGCTAGTTTCAGTAGCGTTTATTAACTCATTTAGTCTTCACAACAGCCCAGTCAGGTTCTTTCCCCCAGTTCAGAGGAGAAAGTGGGGTCCAGAGAGGTTAAGTGCTTCTTGTGGCCTCAGTATCTGGGATCTGAACAGCTCGGGTCAGGAGCTAAGGCCTCAGCGACCCAGCCAGAGGCCGTATGGGAATTGGAAGTGGCCGTTACTGCCCTTGGCGCTGCGGCTGGCTCCCGTAGAAGGTTTTCAGCTGTCCCCTTTCCACCCCTGCAGACTGGCTACATGTTCGGTAAAGGGATCTATTTCGCCGACATGGTCTCCAAGAGTGCCAACTACTGCCACGCGTTTCAGGGAGACCCAGTAGGCTTGATCCTGTTGGGAGAGGTTGCCCTTGGAAACATGTGAGTACACCTGGCTTTGGGGCTGGCGGCACTTGATGGGGATGGGAGAGGTAGGCTGTGGGAAGGAGAACTCCCCCTGGCTGGGAGGGGACTCTGAAAATTCCTCTCCACAGTTACGGGATCCACCAGTTAGGTGGTGGGTAGCAGAAGCCAATTCCTAAGTTAAGTGAACGAGCAGGATGCAGGGATGCCTCCCATCCCAAGGACAGCAGTACAGCCAAGCCGTGGGGACTGGCAGGCAGAGGTTGACTTGCACAGAGGACGGTCACCGCATGGCCCAGCTCATACCAAACTTGAGTCTTAATCCCAGTTGCAAGTACCCCACGTCGGTCCTGTCGACTGTAACCCAAAGGTCAGAGTGATGTGATAGATCGGGGTCTGGGGGTCATGGGCTGGACCGGAAGCTTCCAGAGCGGCCGGCCACAGCTCTGAACAGGACCGGTCCTTGAAAGGCCCCAGAGCAGCGGTCGTTGGCACAGACTCTGTTCAGAAAGAGCTGCACTTCCGGTTTCCGAAGCCGGAGCGGCAGGGAGTGCCCAGCAGTGACCGTGGCCGGGGTTCTCTGGGGTCTGTCTCCTCCTCTCCTTGACCTTATTCTGAAAATCAGACTGTTGGTTTGAGAGCCCCGTGTCCCTAAAGGCTCTTCTGAGACTGTTCCCTCTTGAACAGGTATGAACTGAAGCATGCTTCGCACATCAGCAAGTTACCCAAGGGCAAGCACAGTGTCAAAGGTAACGTGTCCGGGAAGGGGCTCTCCCCAGAGGCCGCATTCCTATGGCCAGCTGTTAAACAGCTGGAGGGCCATGAAAAACCATTTCACTCTGTGGCTGCAGCTAGGGTCACAGATGCCACCAGAGGGTCTTGGTTTGTGCACCAGTGACCAGGTGCGTTGGGTTTTAACCTGACTCTCAGCTCCAGCACTGAGGGACCTCTGTGGATCGAGTGGCACCTGGAGCATCTTAGATTGCTGGAGGTCATAGCACCTGCTGAGTTAGTCTCATCTGCCTGGTTGATATCACTGCTTTGGAATTCTGCTCAGCAGAAATACGGTCCTGGGGTGGAGGCTGGGGGTGCTCCTGTTCTTATTAAAATCAGTTAAGGCTGGTGCCCTGGGAACTTTATGTGTAACCTGCAGCTATGTGGAAGAAGGAAGGATAGAGTATGGAATTTATGTATTTTTAAAATGAACACACAGACCTAACATGAAGGGATCTCATCTCCCTGGAACATTTGCAACATCCATTCTCCCAGGTCATCTCACTCGTGCCTTCTGTTTTGCAGGTTTGGGCAAAACCACCCCTGACCCTTCAGCCAGCATTACTCTGGACGGTGTAGAGGTTCCTCTCGGGACCGGGGTTCCGTCTGGCGTGAACGACACCTGTCTGCTGTATAATGAGTATCCTTTCACGAAGGGCGGTCCCGGGGCTGTCGCGTCCCTTCCTGCAGCCGGTCAGCCCCCGGACTGGTGCGAAACTGTCCTGTAACAGGTCTCACGGGCGTAGTTCCCCTCAGTGGTCTCTGCTGGTGCCGGTGCCGGCTGAGGGACCAACCGGGCGCCCCACGTGGATACGCACAGTTTCTGGGGTGTGAGCAGCGCCCAACATTCTGCCCTCCTGGGGGCAGCACGTGCACCCCGTCATGAAACTGTTTGCTCCTTGACACGCTTCCCCTCCAGGTACATCGTCTACGACATTGCTCAGGTAAATCTGAAGTACCTGCTGAAGCTGAAATTCAATTTCAAGACGTCCCTGTGGTGAACTGGGAGGTTCGGCTGAGTCGCAGCCCAGGGACACTGGCATGAACTCGCCTGCTGTGCTTCACACTGACCTCCGCTGGGTTGCCGAGGGGTCAGGGGTCATTCCTTCACTGGATTTCCTCAGAAAGATTTGAACTTTGGTCACATGTTAAACGATTTTTCCCAACTTTTCAGATCTGTTGTTTGTGTTGGTTTTGGGGGGTGGGGCGGATGTTTGGGGATTTTTTTTCCTGCCAGCCCTAACTCTGGTAGGTACAACTGAATAGAGAAAAAGTTGGGGAGAGGTTGGAGGTTTTGGGGGGGGTTGGGTTTTTTGGGTTTGGGGCGGGGGGGTTGGCCTAGACTAGTTCTATGGAAAGAACCAAGCCACATTAGAACTTCTGCCTTACTGGTTTCCCCAGGGAAGAAAAAAATAATCTTCACCCTTATTTCTAAGTGTTCATCTTTAGTTTTGGTTTTTGGAAAAATGTTAAACATTTATTTTGAGGTAAAAATAAAAACTAATTTCATACTATTTACATTTTCTTTTTTATTTTGCCTTTGTTATCACCTTTTTGGCTTTTTTTCCTCATGAGGGGGTGTGGGGAGACCAAGGGGAGGAACGTTAACAACTTCTCATACTTGCCAGCAAAAGGCCTTTCCTTTTGCAGAGACACTTGAATGTGGAAACTCTCGGAACATGTAGTACAGTAAATTAAAAGTTGCATTTGAAATTCTCGACTTTCCTATGAGCGATTTTGTCTTTCAAGTTTATCTATATCGCCAGTATACCCAAAGGCTGATAGTAATTCTCAGTTACTGTGGAAATGACTTCTGTATTTACATACCGTGTGTTTGGTCCCATCTGACTACCGGTCTGGTTAATCATCACAGTGCAAGGTCCACAAAGGCCACAGGGGATTGTTTGTGCCTGTGTCTGTGAAACCCCAGGATGTGCCAGGCAGCAAACAGGACATCTGAGTGGCAGAAAAGCAGATGCGAGACATGGGAAGACGCTGTGTCAGCTTATCAATTAACGTGCTAAACTCAGGCCAGTGTATTGCTCTATCGTGTGGAGCAGTATATTACGTATACCGTATTGGCTCACACTGCTGCTGTATATTTGAGAATGACAATTAAATGTTTGTTTACATTTAAGTTCACCGAAAGCCAGGGTGGGATCGTATGACTCTCGACCTTTTACAGATGGAGAATAGGAAATGTGGGTCGGAAGGTAGAGTCACAGGCAGGAGAAGGCAGCAAAGCGAGCTGTTGTCTCAAACTCACAAGTTTCCCTGGATTTTTTGGCGAGGAAGACAAAGGACAGGCACCATTCAGGATAGGAGAGAAGGAAAATACTTAAGGTTTTCTACGTTGAGCTACGTTTAAGTGATTATAACAACAGGTGTGATTTCTGTCCTATAGGAGCTATGTTTGTGACTTCATGCTGTTAATAAGCTGAGGGCTATACCAACCCAAGTTAAGGTGTTAGATATCAGAGAAATGCAGCAAATCAATAACAGTGGAATCCTCATCTTTTTCAACATCCTTGATGAAAATCCTTAGCTCCTTGCACCAGAGGCCCCCTCTCCTGATTAGCCACATTCAGTAAGGCTCTCAGGCTCCCTGGATCCTGAGTATTTTGTATTCTTCACCTTTTTTTTTCTATCAGCACAGAGAAAGGCAGTAACCCTCACAGTACCTGATTAAACAAAGTATTTTTAGGTTTGAGTGATTGCTTAATGGGTTCCCTGTAATCAAAACTGATTTCTTTCTTAAAGAGAGATGAATATTTCTGACTCCATATTTTTTTTTCTAAAAGAGGGAAGCTACCAAATTATGTTTCAATATTTGGATTTTCTTCCTTTATTTTAAAGAAATCCGAGTCCTATCTCAGGGTGCCACGGAAATGCATGCAGTTAATAAAAAAGTTTCTTAAACAGTGAGCTGGAGGAGCAAACGTGCCGCATCCCGCTGCCTGAGCTGCCCCCTCTCGCCTCTGTGCCTGGAAGTGCCCCCGGCTGTCCTCGGCTCACATTTCAGGCCGCGGGCGTACCGCACAGCGGCCGGTGCACGTGGTGTCGAGTGCACTGAGGTGCCGCCCATCACCGCAGCGTCAGCCCATGGGTTTTGCGTTGGCAGTTAGTTTTGCTGCACCTCTGCGGGGGCCGCCTTTGGAGGTGGGAAGCAGCTCCTTCAGTATCCCAGAGCACTTCCGTGAGGCTGCTGTGGGGAGATTTGTTGGAATATCACCTTGGGGTGAACCTCAGAGTGAGCTCTGTGCTCGGGCAGAGCCCTGAATGAATCCAGTGGGGCACTGCCCCACCCCTGGCAGACAGCGCGTGTCTGTGCATTAAATAGTCACGTTGCAAGGCTGCGAGGTGCCTCGTCCTGACCTCCGGAAACCTCACGTCTTCTCACTTGTCAAGATCTGAATATCAGGAATGGTTCATCTTCTACGTGTTGGGCTGGTTCTATGGCACCAATGTCACCCAGGTGCCTTAAGAATTTCATATTTCCCAAAATGGTGTCCCTTTAAATTCTGCGTTTCAGCTCCCAAATGCTCTGGGAATGGTTTGCTTTTTGTTTTCGTTTTAAGGAATGGTGTTTCCATCACTTCTCCAGGCAGGGCGTCCGCACGATGACTCCTTGGGGTAATGGCCGGTTCCGGGAGGTCTGGCCAGCTGAGAGGCAGCGCCCCGCTGGCCGCCTCACTTCGGCCATTTAATCTCTGCCTGGAAGATCTGACAGCAGCTTCCGCTTGTCCATTTTTCTGGCTTATGAGAGCGGTGCGTTTTCCCCTTGCTTACTCGTCTCTGAAGTGGGTAATCTAGGTTACAAGAAGAGGTTACTGCTTTTGGAAAGGAAGGAAATGTGGTCTGTAACAATTTCTCTTCAGTGACCTGGCCCACCACGGGGCGAGTGGGCAGTGTGAGTGATGGGGTCACCCGGGCGTTCGCTCTGTGTGCCGGGGGACATGCGGGGTGCTTTTCCACCCCTGTCGTGTCCTGCGCAGCCTTGCTTCCGGTCAGAGGTCTCACTTCACAGATAGCAGGTCGGCATTGGGCTCGTGCCCACGAGTTACCTGGTTTTGCCACACATCCCATAACCTAGATGAGGCCTCCTTGAGAGGTCGAGTGGCTCCTCACAGTGCCAGTGTGAGTCAGCACCATGATCTTCTGGGGTCCAGCATGTGGGTTAAATCAGGGACCAGTGTAAGTCACTCTCCCCCAGACGCAGACTTCGTGGGTCTGGGAGCCAAGCAGTGGAGTGGGGGTGGCTCCTGTCACCGCATCTGATATATCCACTCAGAACTTTCGCTTCCCGCCCTGGAGCTCTGCTGGGCTGGAGGTCCAAGGCCCTGACAGAGACACGTGTCCCCCAGGGACACAGCAATGGTTCCACTGAATCAGATGAGGCTGCCACCTGGCACTTTGGGGCTCCTTAACGACCACGTCCCCCCACCAGCAGAGAAAAACGTTGCTCTACTGACTGGAGCGACTGATTACTAAGAGGAAATTGGGGTGCTGCACCGTGGAGGCGAGGACAGTGTCTGCAACCTGGGGTCCTCAGGAGCACCTCTGAGTGCTGCCGTGTTTCACAGCAGAGGCTTGGGACGGAGGGTCAGCAGCCTTCAGCGGTGACAGGACTGTCGAGGATTCAGCCCCTCAGGAGGGAACGTTCGGAGCACTTAACCAGGCCAAGGACTGTCATCAGCTAAAGTTCTGAGCAAAGGCAGAAAAAATAAGGACTGAATACGGAAGCAGAAAGTTACAGGTAGCAACTCCGGTTTTGTGACCGTCTGTGACAACACGACCTGAAGCAACCAGTTAAGGGGCCACGACTGACCTCACTCGCCCAAGTCTAGGAGTGGTGATGAGGGATTAGAAGCAGGAAACAGGAAACTGGACTCTCGATTTTGGAGACTCTATGAATGCACAGATGATATTTATCCCCCCGATTCCTCACTCTGTAGTGTAATGGAGGGGTACTGTCGCCCCCCTCTGGAGAACCAGTGATGGGCTCAGTGTGGAGGAAACAGGTCAGGGCCCAAAGGAGAGAACTCTTATATTCCCAGGGTCATCCGAGCCAGGGCTCCCACCGTCAGACCCTTTCAGCCAAGCCTCCGGCTGCAGAAGGATGAATCAAGCCATTCCGAGTCCCTGAAACCTTTTGGTACCTACCCTTGAGTCATGTTGAGAAAAGCTCATCCCTGTAAAGTACTTAGCCTGGTTCCTGGCCTTGACACACCCTCAACCTCAGCCATGGCTGAGATCCCAGGGAATGGTTTTGCTGGGGTAGGAGCCCAAACGGAGTTCCTGGTCAGAAAAGGAGAACCAGGGGTCGCGACAAAGATGATCCCGGGCTTAGGAGGGAACTGCCGGACAGTCTGGGGAGGCAGAGCCCAAGATTGTACAGGTGCCCTTATGCCCTTTCGGTCTGAGAAACCTGACCGTGACACTGGCCTTCCCTCAGTGTGGCTTCATCCTCCCATTCCTCCCGGTCATTCAGCTTGACCGAAGGGATCAGACTCTCCAGTACTGTCCCCCCAGGCCCAGCCCCACTTCCAGGCAGGCCTGCTGAGGCTTAGAATAGCCCAGCTGCTGTCTCAGCAGATGGCCAGGCTAATTTTAGCCATGTGGTACTCAACCCAGGGCCCAAGCTGGGCTTTTTATATTTGAATAAGCCAGTGTGCAACTTGGGTTTGGAGCCAATAACAAAGCTTTGAGTTGTGATCTGTGCGTCTGCCTAGCACGGTACAAGTATTCCAGAAATACAATTTTTTAAAAATTTTGTTTCTCTGAACCAACAAGTCCCCAAACTAGAGAACCAGGGGGCATTCAAGCCCGTGGGTACTGGGGACGAGCCAGGAGACAGTGTTGATAGAAAGCCATGAGAAGCAGATGGTGACCCCAGCTCCTGCCTTGCTCTCCCTGATAACAGGCAGGTGGCAGATCCTCAGTGTCCAGGACACACTGACCTCTCAGTGCTCTCTTTGTCAACATGAAAGAGGAAAGCCAGCCCCTTCGCTTCCCGGCTCATCCTCTGAATCACTTCTAGTGAATGGGCTGCATTTTGATGCTGTGGAGGGAATGTGATCCGAAAGAAATTAACCACAGATGCCAGCAAGAAGCTCCTGACAACCTAGTATGAAGTGGGCAGATGTGGAAACTGAGGCTCACAGAAGTAGGAG